CAGCTAAGGGAAGGATTGTATTGTTCACATTGACACTATGATCCAGAGTATGGTCAACCATGCATACTAATATATATACATATGCTTTTTTAGCCACCAGGATATTTGGCTATGATGTTATATTAGGGAAATATTGTTAGAATTTCCAAGAAAAGCATTGGTTTTATTGCTGGCATTGCTAAGCAAGAACTGTATTAATTCAATATCCAATTTACTGCCATAAATAATAATGAGACTCAAAGAGAAAGCAATTTCTCACAAGACATGTTGGCAGTCACCCCCAACTTATTAAGAACCCCAGGCAAATTAAATCCTTACCTTCCATTGGTTGGACAGTGAAAGCTGCATTTGACTGGAGCAACTTCAACTTGAATTCAAAATCCACCGGGACATCACAAGACAAAGTAAATGTATTTTGAACGCTGCAAGGAAAAATAAGAGCAATAGAGAATAGTGAAGTAAAGTGAATGATTAACAAATATGTGTGTGTTTGCATGTGTTTAGCTTTTATGGGTACATGGCCAAGTGGTTAAACAGTTCACTTTCCAACCATGAGAAGTCCTAGGTATGACTATAAACTACATCTGGCAGTATGGCCTCTGATTGGAAGATTAGTAGTTATGAGAAGCATTGAACCACCTTTTAATTGCTTTTGTTCCCAGGTTCACAATGACCCTGGGTGGTAGCACCTGTTGGGTTCCCAGCTATGGGCAAATAGTGACCCCCACCAAACAAAGACACTATGAAAGTATAAAAATACATTTAATAGTAAAAATACCAGCAATACATTTTTATATAGAAAGGAGCAACAATACATATAGTAAAATAACCAGCAATGCCTTTTATCTGTAGTTGAAGGCATGCAATTGCATTCAAAACATATTTAGTTAAAGCCATAAAATTGTGTTCAAAATATTTAGATTTCAGCATTAAATAACCCATAGTGATTGATATGCAGCTAAACAAAATCAACCAAGCAACTAACCATGAAACGCAGGTTTGAATCACACCATGGTCAGTTTGTCAAGAAGGTGACTTCTTGATGTCATCAACTTGAGGAGGTGATCCAAGTATGTTGCAGCTTTTGCCTGAAAACCATACCATGGTTTGACTCAAGTTTCATGAGTGGATTCACATAGACAGAACTATTTGGGAGCTGTCGATGGTTGTGTCAGCACAAAATCACAAGTCATCATGACCGAGGGTTTAAGCATACTGGCCTTGTTTAGACTGTTGATCACACCAGATTATATGATCTCTCCCAAAAACTGTAACTAAAGACAACTCAGTATAGTTTCAGCAGAAAGCACAGGTGGAGTCTGTGGATGTTGAACAAACATATGTGTTGGAGCAGGCATCTGCAACACGGATTGGCTAGTCACCATAGTAGACAGGCATACTCAGATATGATCGGACAGCCATTATATAGTTTTTAAGCAATTAATGTTTTTTTTTTTTTAATCTGACTTTTCTTATTAATATAAACATTATATTTTTATAACACTGAAATTAATGCCTGTCAGCATTTTCTTTAGCTGGACCGTTAAATCATGAAGCCAGAAGACATTAATTTCAGTGTTTGAAAAAATAACAGTGTACTCACTGAAATATAGCAAAGATAGTAATAAAAAATAAAGTCACATGAAAAAATCGATTAACAGCTTAAAAATAAAGTTAGCAAATATAGATAAACTTTGAAATATCTCAATGAGATGTGCAACTCTGAAATAAGTAAATTGTGCTTTGTTTTGCCGTAATGGCTTCCTGTGGCCAAATGGCAAGGAACAATTAGCTTAACATTGGTTTCTCTCACTGCAAAAGGGAATAAATATTTAATATCTATCAGGACACATTTTTTTGATTAGATCTTTAGACCAATAGACATTAATTTCAATCTTTAAAAAAAGTCATGGATACCTTCTCAAACACATGGAACAAGTAAAATATAATGTTTATGTCAAGGGTTTCAAATACATTGCCAATGGGCCACATGTGGCCTATGGACTATTATTCTGTGGCCTGAGCAGAACCATTTTTGTGACATATTTTCATCAAATTTTTTAATGTTTAATAAATTTCTCCCTTGCCTCTTCTATACTTTTGCAGTAGCAGCACTGAGCTTGACATAAACTCCAAGTCCAAACAGACAACAAATCAATTTTAAGGTCAACAGAGTCTGTTGTAGTTTCTCTCCAGGGAAGGAGAGGAAACTTGACCTGCACACCATAGTGTATTCTTCATCAGTAACCTGATGGGAGGATATAAATACACTTGGTGACAATTGTTTTAAAATTTCATCAGTTTGACAACTCATACTAGAGAAGGCTGCCCCTTGTCAAGAAAATTGTTGCCTCCTAACTCCACATTTTTGAATGTGTTGTTATCTAATTTTGATGTGAGAAAAAGTGCTTCTACTTGTGGGCCTCCTTCTGGGGTTGATGCACCCCCACCCATTGTTGATACTCTCCCAATGGTAATACCATGGCAATGTGCATACTTCTGGCTGGGTGCACCTCTCACTCAGAATGTAATGGCCATTTAGTGTCTTTGAGTTTGAAACCCTCGGTTTATGAGAAATATGTAGCTAGCTATATAGATAGATAGATTGAGATAGATATATAGTTGGATAACAGACAGTTAGTTTTTTGTCTGTTTGTTTAACAGCAAGACTCATTTAATGCTGAAATTTAATTTTCTTGGGAGCTTTGAAGTAAGAAAAAATATGATATATGTTATTCTGCCTTTACAATTGAATGCATGATAGATAATACTCAGCTTTTGTGCATATATATGTATAGTATGGTATGTAAATGAGGTACTCCTATAAAAGCAGTACACCACAGCAAAGGCCTGTCAAGCTACAATCGGTTGACCTGACAACATCTGTTCCAGAGAGTATTCTACTTCATAACAATATGGCATCACCGATAGGATTCCTAACCATGTTGCATGTAGAAATGTGGATTAGATGTTTAGTAGTGTTGGCTAGGGTAAAGAAATTGAAAGACAAAAAAGCCTCCAGAGGGGAGAATGAAATTACTGATTTATTTTTTTGCTTCAGCAGGATGTGAAGTCATAAAGAAAATTATGGTGTACCCTAAAATACTGGAAAACTTAATATATAAGGAAATTTCAACCATTATAAAAGGAAACATGTGACCAAAAAAAAAAAAATGATTATTTTGCAGAAAGAACAAAAGCATACAATACAACTAAAATCCAAATTAAGTGCAAATATTGAGACAAAGAACACAAAAGAAACAAAACAAATGTCCAGCCCTAGGAAAATTATGTTTAAACTCTAAAAGAAAAGACCATTTCCAATCTGTTGCAGATACAAGAGAATAGAAAGGAGAGAAAGTATAAACCCTGATACTAAAAATACAGAAGTATATTCGATAAGAATATCTCCAAAATGTAGAGAAACAGTAAAATTAAATGGCATGATTTTTCCTAAACAGGTTGACACAGGGAGAGATGTTACTTTGATCTCAAGGAATTTCTGGGAAAAAAATGGGTAAACCTAAATGAAGAAAAAGTAATCTTAATTTAAAACAATTTAATGGATCTGTCATCAAAACTCTAGACTCCTTTGAATGAACTTTTAAGACAAAAAAAGCATTTTGAGATTATTCCCATTACTGTTGTAGAATACACACAAAATCAAAATCATGGACTCCTTGGAATAGACATTTTGAAAGAGAATATCATGAAATTAATAAATTGTATAAAGTCAGAAAAACCTGACACAGGACTATTGAAAGGATATAAAGCGAGTCACCTGATCTATTTTGAATCTCAAAAAATACTTATTTACATTCTACCCATGATAGTTGCAAAACTAAAGAAAATGGTAGAACAAGGCATATTGGAGAAAGTTACCCAAGGTGGTAGCAGTTGGGCTTCACCAATTGTTGTGATACAAAAGCCCAATGGTGATTTGAGGATATGTGGGGATTACAAAGTAGCTGTGAATCATCACATATGTTCTGATTAATTCCCTTTACCTAACATAGAAATGGCAAGTCATGAATTAGCAGGAACTAAATGTTTTGCCAAGATTGACCTGAAATTGGCATATAACCAAATAGAAATTGATGAAAAATTTAAAGAAGTCACTACAATTAATACCACGATAAGCTTACTAAGATGGACTCATCTTCCATAAGGCTATTTCAATTTAGATATGGTATGTAAATGAGGTACTGCTATAAGAGCAGAATGCTACAGCAAATGCCAGTCAAGTTACCATCTGCTGACCTGACAACATTTATTCTAGAGAATACTTTACTTCATAACATGTTTGTGTGGACATAATTATAGAGGTAGTTATATGTGTGTTTTATGTGGTAGTTTTTTTGAATCTATATTTTGAAATACAGTTTGATTTCTTTAAGGAATTGTAGGATATTATATGTATCAATGTCATAAAAGAGTTCTTTCATGTTGGTTGGTTGGTTGGTTGGTTTTGTTTAGCGGCATATCAACACCTCTATGGGTTATTTAATGCCAAAACTGAAATATTTTAAACACAATTTTAAGGCTTCAGTTAAATATTTTGAACACAATTGCATGCCTTCTACTACAGATAAAATGTATTGCTGGTCATTTTGTGATAAAATGTATTGTTGGTCATTTTGTGATAAAATGTATTGCTGGTCATTTTGTGATAAAATGTATTGCTGGTCATTTTGTGATAAAATGTATTGTTGGTCATTTTGTGATAAAATATATTGCTGGTCATTTTGTGATAAAATGTATTGCTGATAGTTCTACTATAAATAAGTATTTCTGGTAATTTTACTATAAAAATGTGTTTTTATACCTTAATAGTTTCGTTTGGGGGTTCATTATTTGCCAATAACTGGGACCCTAACAGGTGCTACCACTCCAGGTCAGAGTGAACCTGGGAACAACAGCAATTAAGAGGTGGTTCTACACTCCTGAAAACCTCCAATCTCCCGATCAGAGGCCTTGCTGCAGGATGTAGTTTCTCATACCCAAGACTTAGATTTAAATTTTGTGGACTTGAGTTTGAAACCCCTGCTTTATGATAGATAGATAGATAGATAGATAGATAGATATGAACAAACAGAGATTGATAGATATAAATAGACTGAGATAGATAGATAGATAGATAGATAGATAGATAGATAGATAGATAGATAGATAGATATGAACAGATTGAGATGGATAGATAGGTGAACATAGATAGATTTGATTCTTACAGCACAAAATTAAAATATATATTTATATAGTTTAATTGGCAGAAATCCACAGTATTAAGATATTCAATGGGGATGGAAATCTGTATATTAATGAGTGATCTTTGGAATAAATTTACTAACTGTTGGAAGACAGAGAAGGTACTCAAAATATGAGATATTTATGTCTGTATACACTAAAGTGTGGCCATTATTTCTTTATTGTTTCCACATTTTTTTTCATTTTCCAATTTTTTTTTTTTTTTTTTTCTCAAGGTGTCAAAACAGGAAACAGGAATTCTTTGGTAATGGAAGCATTGGATAAAATATTTAAAAACAAAAAATTATGTTAAGATATGAAGCCCACCCAGAGATTTAACCAATCTTTTGATTGTTGAAGAAAGATAACATGTTGTTTTTTTTTTATGTTTTTTTTTTTTTTTTTGGTGGGTGGGGAGATCTTATTAATCTTACATTATAGCTAACTTTTGACTCATAGCTTTATTTAAGTAAAATGTTTTCGTTGATTTTCTTTAATACTTGAGCTGTCAATTCTTCAGATATGAGCAGACAGAACAGACAAAAAAGATCAAATCCCAAAGAGATTTGAAATGTGTGTAATTTTTGCCTCAAGGAAGCCTGACAAATGCCCACCTGCTTTGCTGCTAAGCTATCTGAAACTGACAACATTTCAGAATCTCTGTCAGGTATAACATACATAATATGTTGTGTATATCTTGTCTAATATACTGAATATAATATGTATGTCTACTCTCAGATGCACAATATGCCACAAACATCATAGATACATTTAGCACAGTTCTGGTCTAATATATGTTATATAGTGCACAGTACTGGACTAACACAAATCATGTGCCATGTATATCTCATCTAACATATGCAATTTAATGTGCAGGTTTGCTTGAACATAATTAATATGGTGTATATATCTAGCCTAACATTGGTAACACAGTGTATATTTACTCAATATTCATATGTCAAATAAAGCTGATTTAACAGATGTAATATGCTATATATGTCTGTTCTCGCATACAAGGATTAGAAAAAATATTTGTAGTAATTTTCAAATGCTCTACACTGTCCTCAAAACGACACTCAAACACTCTGAAATATTCATATTGGAGCTTCCATCATGAATGCCAAGCAGTACAGCATGCCATTTCCAAATTTCTAGTGAAGTGAATTGTGCCTTGGCGCTCATTTTCTCATAAATAGTTCCCAACTGACCCCACTATACTGTGCAGTTGGCAAAATCAAAAACAAATAACATGCAATATCAGATGTCTCTGAGATGAGGTATTATGGTTACTGGTATTATTTAGATTATTCAGGCTGTTATCCTCATCTTCATTGTCATATTCACAACATTTCAGCCATTGTATGCTCCGGCCTTCTTCAGGTGATTAGAATTTCAAACTGAAGCCTTTATTTCATCCACCAGGGTAAATTGCTCTAGTTCCACATGTCATGCCTCTTCTTGATGTCTCAGTCATTTCCCTTTTAACTCAACTCTCCAAGTTTTGATTCACCACTGCTGTGGCCTGGTAGTGAACTCACAACTTTTTGGCTCTAGTCACTGAGGACACATAGCTCAGTGGATAAAGACGTTGGTTAGATCCAGTGACTAGATCCAAAGAGTTGTGAGTTCAATACCAGGCCACAGCAGTGGTAAACCAAGACTTTGAGTTAAAAGGGAAATAACTGAGACATTGCGGTGTTGATCAAAACTACCAACCACACAGCCTTTTCAGTATTCAATTTCCTTATCTCCTATAATTTGTTATAACTGATCCATACACTGAGGTATTTGACGTAATGGGTAATGATATCTAATCAAAAATTCAGATGAAATATTTACGAGCTGTTATTGAGTCAGTCACATCAATTAAGAGGAGAAGAGGAATTTTGTGAGGAGAAGATTATGTGTGGATGTAGGTGGGGATCAAATATTTTTTTTTTACTTCATCTCAAAGTTGAGGCAAGAATCAAACTTGTTAGAGATTAAGCTGGAACCTTTTCACCAGGGCAAATGACTGATTATTCCTGAAAATGAATAATGAAATTTGAAGTTAATGTATTCTGTGACTATATTAAAATTTTTTACTAAGCGGCTGATTTTCCTAATGTGATTGTGTAACCAGCCCCAATTATGTAAAGTCCGCAACTCAGTATATTGGGCAGATAAAAAGGGATAGAGAATACAAAGCTGTGGAAGGATATTTAATGACAGTATTATTCCCTGGTAACAAGCTAGTAATGTAATGCCAATCAGTTAGCAAATGCTAATAGTAATGGAGAAATTAGTAATTTTCTACTATAGAAATATTCAGAATTCATTGATTAGTGTTATTTTCAGTCAAAATTTATAAATTCTTTCTATCAAAGCAATTTTTTCAGGAAAATAGGTTTCTCATGTCTACTGTTATTGCTCTTTACTGATTGTACTGATTGATGTTTCAATAGTCTGAATATAAATAGTGAAAATAGCAAAATTATATGTGCCATTTATGGAGATGGTGCCATAGCTGAGCATATTGTTCAGAAGTGTTTCACTAGATTCAGAAGAGAGAACTTTGATTGGTAAGACTGAGAACATTTCAGCAGGCTTGCAGTCATTGACGATGACCAAACTGAAACACTGATTAAGAATAATTCAGGACACATGACATGGGACATTGTAGAGATTGTCCACATATTTCATATGCGCAATGTAAGACATTTGAAAACACTTGGATATGTGAATTGTTTGAGTTACCAGAAAAACATTTAATGAATGACATTTCTATCTGCAAATCTCTGCTCAACACAACAAAATCAATCTGTCTTTGAAAACAATATTCATAAGTGATAAAAAATGGATTGTTTACAACAATGTGGAGTGAAAAAAAAGTTCATAGGAGAAATTAAATGAACCATCATTAACCACTCCAAAAGCCAATCTATATCTGAAGATGATACTGTGTATCTGGAGGGATTGAGGATATTAACAAAGTTATGCGTGTGTATTTTTTTAGGTGAAGGTGCATGTTCAATATATAAACAAAGAAGATAGAAGAAGCATACAAAAAACTTGAGTTTCTGCTACGGACATTTATTTCTTTTATGTTGACTGTATTGAAACAAATTTAAATGTCTCTTGAGTACGTACGTTTTTCTTTTTGGTTCAGAAATTATTTATGAGAAGTAAGGATAAGAACAGGTACATATGGTTGAGTTCAAGTTAGACTCACAGTCAGTTGGAATGGCCGAATCTCTACTTCATGAGGAGGGTTTCTGAAAACATGCCTGAACAATCTCGTTTGATAGTGGAAAAGAGAAAGATTCTGTCCTTTTTGGGAGTGAGGTCATAAAATCACGCATGCGACCAGAAACCATTTCTGGTTTCTTTATAACTTGCATCATGGGAAAATTAATTTTTTTTCCTTTATTATTATTTTATTTACTGGTTTTATTTTATTTTCCCACAGGATTGGAAGATTAGAAGGACATTATATATTATGAGCTCCTTCTTCAAAATCAGATGTTGAATTCAAATAAGTACTGTTCCCAATTGGACAAATTTAAAGCAGAAATCATAGGAAAGCAACCATAATTGGTATAGTGTTGTCTTTTATCAGAATAATACCACACTTTGAAAAAAAATGAAAATACATGTAAGTTGCTGGATATATCTAGTCTAATATAAATAAAATGCACTGTATAAATAACCTAGCTATGTTGTATATGCTTCAGTTAAGATATACACAATCAAAAATATATATATATATATATATATATATATATATATATATATATATATATATATATAAAGACATGTCTCATTGAATAATTTAGACAAGTTTTTCTACTTATTTACAGTAGGATTCTCTTGTATTCATGGACAAGCTTCTTAGTAAAGGAAGAGAGAAAATGTTGATGCATATTTATTTATTCTGAGTACTTTCAACATTAGCACAATGTCATCATCATGGTGTTGATTTTTTCTAAGACAAAATTGTTGTGTTCATCTAAAAGTTAAATTTTTAACTGTGAAGTGAAAAATGCTAAGGTTATGTAGTGTACAATTTAAATTTAATGATGTGAATGTTAGGGGAGATAACTAAGTTTGAAATGTCTATATGTTTTCTGTTTTTTGTTAAAAAGCATACAGACATTTACGCAATATACATATACATATATATATATATATATATATATATATATATATATATATAAAATATGTGGCATATATCTGATTTGATACATGCTGGGATGAATAACAAATTTAAAATCAAGAGGTGAAAGAAATTTCCATCATTATGTTAAAATGTACGTGAACATATTTTTTGCTTTCTTCAAGAAATAAAAAACAGACTTTTAAAATATTTATGGAAATACAGACAAAAATATTTTGCCTGTGTTATATAACAGGATTTATGATTTTTAGAAAAAAGTTATCATCATGCTCAAATACAAAAAAAAGAGAAAAAGAATTTTCTGATTAAAATATTTTATTTAATTCCAGTGTGTGGGGGATGTGTTTTCAACTTGTTTATTTATTGAGTGATCCAGATAGCCATAGCTGATAATGAATGCATTTCTCACTTGCTAAGATTTTTTACCAGCAAAATGGTTGCGATCAGAGACATTAGCACATTCACTGATATGAACAATCATTCACTGATATGAACAATATGCGGCCAGATTCTGGTTGATAACCACTGACACTTCCTAAAATGAGAATGGATTTTGATAACTCCATAGCCTAGTCTCACACTGGTAATTTTGATCTGAAATTTTCACTGTATAATGTCTGTTCTGTATTATTAATATTCAACACCAAATCATGGAAGGGAATGAATATGTGTTGTATAAAATAAATACCATTTTATGATTTGGCTATGGATTTCCTGATGTACCTATATATAAATACTTATATATATATATATATATATATATATATAGAGAGAGAGAGAGAGAGAGAGAGAGTTCAATGGATAAACTG